GCAGCGGTCGTAAGTATGAAAACCGGTCATAAGTCACATTTTTCAGGGCCTTTGTAACTTCAGTCGTTAAACAAATAGTTCTAAAGTGAGGACCACCTACATCATCCATCGGCCTGCTGAGAGACCCTGAGCATCTATTTAATCCTAAACTTCCTCCTACTCCAGCTTTTTCCAAGCCGCTTTCTGCCATTTGAACAATCCGTGTTTTTATTTCCCCGTTCATTGATTGTTGTGAATGTAACTACTTAAAGTTGAAAAGAAGAGGTTTTTTAACATTCTTTTTTCCTTTTTTTTTTAAAAAAAGATGGGATTCTACTATCTATTTTTTGAGAGATGGGCCTTGTTGTTGTTGTTAGTTGCGAAGTCGTGTCTGACCCATCGCAACCCCGTGGACAACGTTCCTCCAGGTCTTCCTGTCCTCTACCATCTTCTGGAGTCCATTGAAGCTCACGTCTACTGCTTCAGTGACTCCATCCAGCCACCTCATTCTCTGTCGTCCCCTTCTTCTCTTTTCCCTCCATCTTTCCCAGCATCAGGCTCTTCCCCAGTGAGTCCTTCCTTCTCATTAGGTGGCCAAAGTACTTGAGTTTCAACTTCAGGATCTGGCCTTCTAAGAAGGCAGTTTGTTTTTTCTAGCCTTGATTGATAATTCAGGGCCAGGAGATGGCACTCTTGAGTTAATTTTCTCATCCCCCCCCCCTTTTTTTTTTTAAAAAAAAATTCTCCCGTTGACTTAACTGTTGAGGCATTCATGTCTCTCCCATGCTGGGGTTGGGGACATGCCAAGAAAACCACCTCAGGTGGCATCAAGAGCTACCAAGGCAGAGGAGGCACTTTTGGGTGTGAAGACCCAGAAAGCTGGAGAGGACCTAACAGAACAACAGAATTGGAAGGGAACCTAGAAGTCTTCTAGTACAACCCCCTGTTCAGGCAGGAGACCCTACATCATTCCGGACAAATGGCTGTCCATTCTCTTCTTAAAAGCCCCCCACATTGGAGCACCCACAACTTCTGGAGGCAAGTTGTTCCACGGGTTAATTGTTCTCACTGTCAGGAAGTTTCTCCTTAGCTCCAGGTTGCTTCTCTCCTTGATTAGTTTCCATCCATTGTTTCTTGTCCTGCCTTCAGGTGCCTTGGAAAATAGGTTGATCCCCCTCTTTTTTGTGGCAGCCCCTCAAATATTGCAAGACTGCTATCATGTCCCCCTTAGTCCTTCTTTTCTCTAGACTAGACTAGTGAATTCCTGCATCCATTCTTCGGATGTTTTAGTCTCCAGCCCTCTAATCATCTTTGTTGCTCTTCTCTGTACTCTTTCCAGAGTCTCAGCATCTTTTTTATAATAGGATGACCAAACTTGTCTGCAGTATTCCAAGTGTGGTCTTACTAAGGTTTTATAAAGCAGTACTAATACTTCATGTTGATCTTGAGTCTAAACCTCAGTTAATTCAGCTGAGGATTGTATTGGCTGTTTTGGCTGCTGCTGCACACTGCTGGCTCATATTTAAGTGATTGTCTACTAGGACTCCAAGATCCCAACCATATAGATTCACCTGCTATCTCTCCACAACAGCTTTTTGATAACTGTGTGTTGCGGCTTCCGTGGTTTGTATCCTTGCCAGCTATTGTCATCGGTGTACATCAGGACAATGTCGCTTGTAACATCCCTTTTTGGGTGTAGATAGTTTTATTTATTTATTTATTTATTTATGAGACTTGTATACCGCTTTAAGTGCAAGCACTCTCTAAGCGGTGTACACCAGTAAGCGAAGGCTGAGTCAACCTTGAGCCGGTGAGATTTGAACCGCTGACCTGCTGAACACAGTCAGCTAAAATGGCCTGCAGTACTGCACTCTAACTGCTGCGCCACCTCGGCTCAAGTTTTGCCTTGATTCCTGGGATATGGGTGGCTGGGAATGAAGAAAGCTAAAATACATTTGGGAAAGACCTAGTTGAAAAAGGTTACTTTAAATGAGACGGACTTACCGTATTTTGCACCTTTGTGGATTCTGCTGCTTAATAGTGAATATAGTAAATTATTTCAACTTGCTTTTAATAATTAGTAAGGTTGGCCTAAACTGAAAACTGGTTAGAGAGAAAAGGCAAAGGAATATGACCTTGCCAATTATATATCCTTTTAACCATAATTCTGAGTGTGTATTATTTCAGTAACAAAGTCCTTGTGCCCATAATTACTAAAATAATGAGAATGCATGAATGGAACACATATTTGTGAGCTAAGAGGAAGGAATACAGTAATGAAGTTTGCCATTTGCTGCACAATAAGACAGAGAATTTTTATTAGCTAGAACTGTGGGCAATAAGTGAAGAGTTGAGATCAATGATCAATGCAATGAGACTTTAAAAGTAATCTATTTTATAATGGTAGGTAAGACATGGGAAGATTGATATTTATATGAAGATGCGCCAAATAATTGATAATTATTTGCTGCCAGGAGAGAACAACAAGTCAATTATTCTAGATATAGGGAAAAAAATGTTATTTCCAAAAGGTAAGGTGGATTGTCATGATTTTTGTGAATTCAGTGATTAGGATAAAAGGACTCTGAATTACAACAACTTCATCATGGGGCAATTTATAGGGTGAAGAACGGGATGATAAAATGATAAAATAATAACCTTGATAGAAAATGTGCAAAATATTAGCTGGTGTTAAGAAGGAGATTTTTTTTTAGATGAAATGTATATGCTAGCATCCTTGAGGTGTCACAATCATGAATTTTAGAAATACCAACATACAGCAAGTGAAACCATTGACTTTTTCTGTGGTATAATGTTTTATTGCATCATGAAGGACCTGAGAAATTGAGGAGATAGAACTGATTGCAAAAGAGGAGTCAAAACAAAATAGAACCTGAATTAAAATGTTAGATCAGGTCCACGCATGAAGGTCCAATTAAACTGATGTATTGCTATTCATGCCTAAGCACAGAAATCTTCTCAACTAACTGTTGATACATGCTTAGAGTAAGATAAGGGTCCACGGAATTCAAGGGAGGTCAGATTTAGTCCTCTTGTGGCTACGTAGGGATTCTAGGCCGATTCCTCTTTTGACTCCGCCCCCAGGTTCTGCCATTCCTTCCCCTACAGTTTGATAAGGAACCAATCAAGTAGCTGGTTTGGTTGCGTTGTAATTCCTGGTGTACGTGTGTGTTTAGATCAGTGGTTCTCAACCTGTGGGTCGGGACCCCATTTGGGGTTGAACGACCATTTCACGGGGGTCACCAAACAACGCAGTCCGCCATTTTTTTCACCTTTTCCTTAGCTGTGCTACTTCCTTTTATTCTATTGGCTTTTGAAAGCCAATAGAATAGACTCTCTTGAATAGAGTCTAATTCTATTGGCTTTCAAAAGCCAATAGGAATTGTCCAGGCTGTCTCTGCCCTGCTGAGCCCGCCAAAAGTCTCATTCTGCAAACAGTGCTGCACCAGTTGAGTAGTCCTCGACTTACGACCGGTTGAGTAGTCCTCGACTTACGACCGGTTGGGCGGGGTCGCGGCATTAAAAAGGTTGAGAACCACTGGTTTAGATTGTGACTTTTTAATGTCCTAAGCTGCTCGAAGTCACTATGTGTAAGTTGGACAGCCATATATATTTGTTTGATAATAAGCTAATTGGAATCAGATTTCAGAGAAAAAAAAATTCCGATTAAATTTAGGGGAGGGGAGAGCAGAGGGAGAACAGCCCTCTAAAAGAAGCCTGTGGAAATAAGATAAGATAAGATGACCTTTGTTATCATTTTTTTAACTGTGAGCACACTGGCGCACATTAAAAATGAAATGCAGTTGCTTGCGCTCAAAAGTGTACACATCCATAATACACATATAAACATGCTGTATACAACATACGTATAAACCTTCACTCTTAAATAGAAATAACATATAAATATTATTCACTGTCCATCTTGAATACGTTACGGAAAGAGGAAGCTTTAGCGTTCGCAAGGTTTAACACTGTATGGAACAAAACTGTGACCGAATCTGGATGTTCTGCTACGGATACCACAAAGCCCCCCCCCCCCCCAGAGGGTAACAAGAAAAACAGGTCGTGAAGAGGATGTGTAGTATCCCAGATAATCTTACGGACCCTGCTCAAGCAACGCTTCTGTGCTGTGTCCTGGACGGGAGGGAGGGAACTGCCAATGATCTTTTCTGCCGTCCTCACCACTCTCTGCACCACCTTCCTGTCCGAAGCAGGGATGCCTCCAAACCAGACTGTGATGCTGTATGACAGGATGCTCTCGATCGTCCCCCTGTAGAAAGTGGTCAGGACAGGGGAAGGAAGATGTGCTTTTCTCATGCGACGCAGAAAATGCAGGCACTGCTGCGCCCGCTTCACCAGTGTCTCGCTGTTGAGCGACCAAGACCAACACAATTTCTTCCCAAAACTACAGATCTCATTGGTGGTGAGAATGGGGGATTCCGGCTAATGTTTGGGGAAGATTGAGAATCTACTTCAATCTCCCTTACTATTTTGAGGGTTTTGGGCACTGGGAGACTTAATGGCAGGAAATTAATTTTCCTATATTAGCTGTTTTGTTTCACTGCGGTACCTGAACTAAAAGACATTAAGCTAGGCCAATGTTTCTCAACCTTGACCATTTTAAGGCACGTGGACTTCAACTCCCAGAATTCCACAGCCAGCATTGCTGGCTGTGGAATTCTGGGAGTTGAAGTCCACGTGCCTTAAAATGGTCAAGGTTGAGACACACTGAGCTAGGCAGATCTCCTCCTAACATTCTAATGGGATTCTATTATAGTTTCTCTTAAATGTCCCTTCATTGTCTCAAGTTATTTATCAAAATAATAATAATAATAATAATAAAAAAACTTAACAGGATGTTAAGTGTCCTAACTGTGGCCATACACAGATGTGGATCCTTTTTACACTGCAGCCTTCCATCAGATGATTTCAGCCTGCCCAGTGGTGACCTGTATTCTACTTTCAATGTAGTAAAATAACCCATTTTATGCCTCTTGTAGGGTTTGAGAAACAAGCCAAAGAAAACTGGGCACGTAAAGCCTGATCTCATCGACGTGGACCTTGTAAGAGGTAAGACTTGGTCTCCTCAACCGGAGATGTAATTTTTTTTTGTTTTGGCTTAGCTCAGGGGTAGGCAACCTTGGCTCTTTTATGACTCGTGGACTTCAACTCCCAGAATTCCTGAGCCAGCCTGGCTCAGCTTGGAAACCTCTCCCTTTCTCCTCAGCACGGCTGGTTCAGGAATTCTGGGAGTTGAAGTCCACAAATCATAAAAGAGCCGAGGTTGCCTACCCCTGCCTTATATCAGGGGTGATTATGATTATGTTAAAAAATTAATATGTTAATTATGTTAATTAATATGTAATTATGTTAAAAAATTAATGTTATGTGATTATGTTAAAAAATTAATAAAACATATTTTTTTAAAAAATAGTTAACCAGCTAAGCCAGGGTTAGGCAACCCTGACTCTTTTATGACTCGTGGACTTCAACTCCCAGAATTCCTGAGTCAGCATGGCTCAGCTTGGAAACCTGTTCCTTTCCCCTCAGCGTGGCTGGCTCAGGAATTCTGGGAGTTGAAGTCCATGAGTCATAAAAGCCAAGGTTGCCTACCTCTGGCCTAGGCCTAGGCCGCTTTCTGACTCATGGACTTCAACTCCCAGAATTCCTGAGCTAGCATGGCTAGGCTTGGAGACCTCTCCCTTTTCCCTCAGCATGGCTGGCTCAGGAATTCTGGGAGTTGAGGTCCACGAGTCATAAAAGAGCCAGGGTTGCCTAACCCCGGCTTAGCTGATTAACTATTTTTAAAAAAATATGTTTTATTAATTTTTTAACATACCGTATTTTCTGGCGTATAGGACGACTTTCTAAAGCATGCAAATCAGCTCCGAAGTCGGGGGTCGTCTTATACGCTAAGTCGTCTTATATGCCGGAAATTACAGTAGTTTACAGCGTATTAGACGACTTTCTAGGCATGCAAATCAGCTCCGAAGTTGGGGGTCGTCTTATACGCCGAGTCGTCTTATACGCCAGAAAATACGGTAATCACCTTAAGATACATTTCAGAAACATTCACTAACAGTTGATTTCTATAATCTGTAATCCCCATAATAACTTTACTTGATTTCCTCTTTTTCCCATAATGTTCTCTTTTACCAACCTTAAGTTAATACAATTCTTGTTGTTTTCATGAATGACGATTGAGTATAAAAGTTTTCTAGTATTTCTACGGATAATAATCACATCAATATCATATTCCTTTCCTATCTAGTCATTCTGGTTGTCTCATCATAGATCCCATTTACAGTTCTTGTTTACATTTGTTTTTCCCACAATGTTCAAAACATTCTTACCGGTTAAGTTTTTCTCAAAAGTTAATTACATTTAAATATTTAAGTCTATTTTTTTTCTCATGTAAGCCAACCCAATACTTTTACCTTTCTTAAGGAATAAATAAGACTTAAAAAAAGAAAAAAAGAAGAAGAATAAAAAAAATAAAAAGATAGTATACTACTTACGGAGATGTAATTTTATTCAATAGGTTTTAGCTCCGTTTTATCATTTTTAATATTCTCTTATTTTAGAGGGCAGGTTTTCTTCATGGCTGACACTCCCTACCAGGGTAGGATTTTGCTAGGTGTAAAGGGTCAGGACCATAGATTAAATTGCCATTCAGAAAGATTTATTTCTGAAACCCAGAACCAAGAATTCAGTTGACTAAGGGTCAGCACATTACAAAAAAGTCATTGAGACTTTGGGGAAAAAGTGCAAAGATGAGCAGCTCAGATGATTAAACTGCCTGGAGACTAAAACATATGAAGAACAGTTGCAGGAATTGGGTATGGCCAGTCTAGAGAAAAGACTGGGGGGGGGGACATAATAGCAGTCTTCCAATATCTCAGGGGCTGCCCCAAAGAAGAGGGAGTCAAGCTATTCTCCAAAGCACCTGAAGGCAGGACAAGAAGCAACGGGTGGAAACTAATCAAGGAGAGAAGCAACCTAGAACTAAGGAGAAACTTCCTGACAGTTAGAACAATTAACCAGTGGAACAACCTGCCTCCAGAAGCTGTGAATGCTCCAACACTGGAAGTTTTTAAGAAGAGACTGGACAGCCATTTGTCCAGAATGGTATAGGGTTTCCTGCCTGAGCAGGGGGTTGGACTAGATGACCTCCAAGGTCTCTTCCAACTTGATGATGATGAGGATGATGATGATAGCAGTCTTCCAGCATTTGAGGGGCTGCCACAAAGAAGAGTCACTTTTTTCAGTGCCGTCGTAACTTCGAACGGACACTAAATGAACAGTCGGGGACTACCCGTGGTCCATAAGGTCCCTTCCAACAACAACAACAACATCATCATCATCATCATTATTATATTTATAAAAAGCTATATAATATTTTTTAATAAAATACAGGTTTCTGCGTAACCAAGTCCTTGATTTTGCTTCTCTTTAGGATCAGCCTTTGCAAAAGCCAAGCCAGAAAGTCCTTGGACGTCGTTGACCCGAAAGGGAATTGTCAGAGTCGTTTTCTTTCCCTTTTTCTTCAACTGGTGGCTACAAGTGACCTCCAAAGTTATATTTCTGTGGCTCCTTTTCCTTTATCTTCTTCAAGGTACGTATGGCTGAGATCTTCTGCCTAAGAGATGCCTGGGTTTTAAAAAAAACAACAACAGCCCTACCTTCCAGTTCTAATCTTTGGAGAAACAAGTGTCCCAATAGTTGAATAACACTAAAATAGCGTATTTAAAATACATTATCGTAAAGCGTAATGTTTAGAGCATTAACGGTGCAAAAAAGAAACTTGACTGGGTAATCATAAGAATGCAACAGCCCAGGTTTCACAGTTGTTGACAAGGAAGTGGAAAGTGGATAGAGGACACTGCTAAAGACAGCAGGTTAAAAGAGAAAGAACTGGAGAAAATAACAAAATAGAAAGAAACAGAAATCGAACAATGGTGGCAAAAGAAAACAAAGGTGGTACAAATAATAATAGGCGCCTTGGATGCAAACATCTGAACGCCAGTGGAATTGACACTATCCCTATTGGTCAATTCTGAAGGCAGGACGAGAAGCAATGGATGGAAACTGATTAAGGAGAGAAGCAACTTAGAACTAAGGAGAAACTTCCTGACTGTTAGAACAATTAACCAGTGGAACCACCTGCCTCCAGAAGCGGTGAATGCTCCAACACTGGAAGTTTTTAAGAAGAGACTGGACAGCCATTTGTCTGAAATGGTGTAGGGTTCCTGCCTGAGCAGGGGGTTGGACTTGATGACCTCCAAGGTCCCTTCCAACTTTATTATTATTATTATTATTAATTGCAAAAGGCAGTTTTACTGGAGTGCAGCTGCAATCCCACTTATGTTATTTTGAAAATACACGTTCTGAAATGAACATTTTAGCTGTAGGAAAAGAACTGCATTTATATATAGGATGATACTGGATAGGTAACAAGTTCTACCGTACTGCAGAGATATATATTTTTAAAGGGGTTTTCACTTTATTTAGAGAACGGCATCCAGCCATATTAAAAATGGTTAGATACCTTGATTTCAGCAAAAAGACTGACATGCCTGCTTAAATCTCCTCCGCCCGGGGTTAGGAGTTGAGTGGGAAGGTTTTCTGTGCATCGTGATCCATTTCTGACTTCCAGGAAGTCATCTTCTGATTAATGAGCTCCTTTTCTCTGGTTTAACCATGAATTGCTTCACTGTTTGTATCCTCTTCTTTCCAACAGTGGCTGCAGTCATACTCTTCTTTACAATAGAAAGCCCACACCACATACCTCTGACGGAAGTCATCGGCCCAGCATGGCTCATGTTGCTTCTGGGAACTGTGCACTGCCAGATTGTCTCCACAAGGACCCCCAAATCGCCCGCAAACACCGGAGGGAGAAGAAGGAGGTACTTTTGTGGGGTGTGACCACAAAACAATTGAACATCTGTATTATTAGTCTTGTCAGATGCAAAGGATCCGGACCGTGTGTTAAAATTCAAATTAAGAAGATGCATTGCTCTGGCCCATGTACAAAAACTCAACCCTAAATTTGCGCTAGATAAGAGACAACGAAATTCGAGGGCTCGGATTTAGACCGTTTGTGATCACGCAGAAACTCTATGCCGATTCCTCTCTTGACTCCATCTCTTCTTCTCCTACAATCAGTGATATCTTACTCATATTTTGTCCTAGGTTTTAAGTGCCTTCGATAACCTTTTAGGGTTTAGGATTCCTATTTAAACTAAAGCAAAGGCAGCTTAGTTTAAAATAGGAAAGGATATCGAAGGCACTTAAAATCTAGGCCAGTGGTGGCGAACCTATGGCACGCGTGCCAGAGGGGGCACTCAGAGCCCTCTCTGTGGGCACGCATGCACGCCATCGCCCCAGCCCTGCTTCCCCCTGTGGCCCCTCTCACCAGCAGCTTCCCCGGAGGAGACTTGCCTCCGGACATGGCCTGCGTGGAGCAGCGCAGCAAAGGACATGGCAGCCGAGCAGTGTGGACAAGACTCTGCCCTCGTGCCCCATCGCGCAATGATGTTGTGGGATGCGGGTGGAGGGCGTGGCTGCCATGGGGCTGCTGGGCCACGAGGGCAATCTGCGGCGGGCCATGGAGGTAGTGGGCGGCCCTGCGGGGGGTGGAGTGGGGGCAGGGCAGGGGCGGAGCAAGCGGGGCCGGGGCGGTTTTTGGGCACTCAATCTCTAAAAGGTTTGCCATCACTGATCTAAACAATATGTTAGTAAGATATCACTGATTGTAGAAGAAGAGGCAGAGCTTGGGGGTGGAGTCAAGAGAGGAATCGGCATAGAGTCTCTGCGTGATCACAAACGGTCTAAACCCTCTCGAATTTCATTGTCTCTTATCGCCTGTGTAGATTCTCAGTCCTCCAGGTCATAATTATCCCAAAGATGCTTTTTCACGAGGCAACTGGACTTCCTTGTTTTTCTTTGAAGACGTTTCGCTTCTCATCCCAGAAGCTTCAGCAGAGCTGAAGAAGCTTCTTGGATAAGAAGCGAAACATTTTCAAAGAAAAACAAGAAAGTCCAGTTGTCTCGTGAAAAAGTATCCTTAGGTTGCCTCTTATCTTGCGCAGATTCAGTGTTGGATATAGGCGTTAACTGGATACAGGCGTTAACTTGAACTTAACATGTGATCCTGGTTCGTCGCGCCTGACGTGATTGGTAAGGTAGATGTTCCATTGTTTTTGTTTTTGTTTTTACAATAATGTCAAGTCACCCATCCAAAGTAAAATGGCTGCCCTACGGAAATATATTTCAAATGTGTTCTGAACTTGCTTTTTATCCGGGAATACCTTACAGACATTTTATTATATGCTAAATGGGCAAATTCATTAGTACATTTTCATCCGTAAGCAAACAATGAAAAATTAAGTGCCTTAATCTTGGCCACCTAATGAGAAGGAAGGACTCACTGGAGAAGGGCCTAATGCTGGGAAAGATTGAGGGCAATAGAAGAAGGGGACGACAGAGAATGAGATGGCTGGATGGAGTCACTGAAGCAGTAGGTGTGAACTTAAATGGACTCCAGAAGATGGTAGAGGACAGGAAGACCTGGAGGAACATTTTCCATGGGGTCGCGATGGGTCGGACACAACTTCCCAATTAACAACAACAACAACAATCTTAAACATTAATTCCTTGAGAATTAAAATATTCTGTGAAAAGTTTAAAAAGCCTTTATGAATGTATTTTTTTTCCTACCCTTCTGAACTTTTCATTTCTTATTAAAAAGGGAAGATTCTGTCATTTGAAAAAATCTAGGAGAAGGAAAGGCAGAGCCTAAGACAGTGGTTCTCAACCTTTTTAATGCTGCGACCCCCAATTGGTCATAAGTCGAGGACTAAACCGGTTGTAAGTCGAGGACTAAACCGGTCGTAAGTCGAGGACTACCCAACCATTTGTAAGTCGAGGACTTTCCCTGCCCGGGAGCACCGTGCATGCATGGTGCTGCCCCCTGCGCCGGCCGAGGCATAGCTGGCAAGCGGCAGAGACGGAGCAGGCTGACCACCGGCTGGGCCACCAGCTGGGCCACCAGCTGGCCCAGCCCAAGGGAGGTAAGGCACCTGCCGGAAAAGGGGAAAAAAATGGTGGACAGCCTTGCTTGGCGACCCCCGTGAAATGGTCGATCGACCCCAAATGGGGTCCCGACTCATAGGTTGAGAACCGCTGGCCTAAGGGGTGGAGTCAAGAGAGGAATCAGTTTGGAATCTACACATCGCCAACCTGTCTTGAATTATGTTAACCCTTATCTTGAACCAGTTTAGGGCTGACTATTAGTTTCATGTGCATAGGCTTGATTGAGCAATACATCACCTTAACTGGAACGTAACGCGTGGCCCTGATTCTTCGTGCCTGACCCAAAGGAAATGAAAATATAATTGGTTGCGTTTAAATCAACAAAGCCGTTTCAGCTTTAAATACGCCGACGGGTAACTCTGTCCCTATTTTGGTGCTGGTGAATTACTTTTATCAAATGTCTCCCATTTCCAATTTCTTCTGATGAAGGAAATTAAGGAAAGCCGCCCACTTGGAAGTGCATCGTGAAGGGGATGGCTCTAGCACGACCGACAACACGCAGGAAGGAACCGTCCAGAGTTATGGCACCAGCAGCTCTTACAGCCTTTGCTCCGTCTTCAAGGAACTCTGGCACGCTACTTCCTTTTTATCAGGGTTGGTATATTTTATTCAGGCCTTTGCTTATCTTAAAGGAGGCCTTGTTCCCTTTCTCCATCCTCATCCTGTCCCACGTTTTTGAGCCCCTGCAACTTTTGTTTTCCACCTTGAGCATCTTGTCAACCCTGGAAACCAGTAGGGGAAAATTGAGGTCACAGATGCCCGAAGTCCATGAAAAAAAAAGTTAGATTCTGTTCTAAATCTGCTCATCATTTTTCAGCTGAGTTTCTTACTTGGCTCTGGGGCACTTCCTGTGAAATTAGGAGAGGCCTTTCTACTTTTTCAGTTTCTAGGAAACTTCCTTTAATTCCAACAAGCAAGATAAACAGTTGATATAGCGATTAAGGTATCGGGCTAGGAAGCTGGAGACGGTGAGTTCCTGTCCCACCCTAGCCATGACTGGCCCAATCACCAGGAGATGGTGAGTTCTAGTCCCACTTTAGCCACGAAAGCCAGCTGGGTGACTTTGGGCCAGTCACCAGGAGATGGTGAGTTCTAGTTTTGCCTTATCCACGAAAGCCAGTTGATTGAGTTCACCGTCACCAGGTGATTGAGTTCTAGTCCCAACTGAGGCACAAAAGCTGGCTGAGTAACTTTGGGCCCTTTTTATGATTTGTGGACTTCAACTCCCAGAATTCCTCAGCCAGGCATGTTGGCTGAGGAATTCTTGGAGTTGAAGTCCACACCTCTTAAAATGGCCAAGGTTGAGAAACATCATTTTAGGTCTTTCTGAGTTAGCATTATTTCCCCCTCACCTTATGTCAGGGGTCTTATGACTTGTGGACTTGTATATAACGCTGGCTGAGGAATTCTGGGAGTTGAAGTCCACAAGTCATCAAAAGGCCAAGTTTGAAGACCCCTGGATTAAAGATTCCCTGTGTGTATGTAGGCATAAATTTAGGCCTAAAGTAATTATTGCCTCCGAATCACCTGTTTCGCTTTGACAAATAGGTTTATATATCCTAAATCAGTGGTTCTTAACCTGGGCGATATTGCCCCCCAGGGGGCGATTTCATTTTTCAGGGGGGCGATGGAACGAAAAGGGGGCGATATGGGGGCGATGGAGCGAGAAGTTTTGAGGGCACTTTTGAGACATTTTCGTACAGTGAATGGCTGTATATCTGTCGTACAAAAACATCAGATCGCTCGTTATTAGTGGATTGAATTGTGTTTTCAGATGTTCCTCCAGCTAGCTTCAGTACAGAACGCCGTACATATGTAAATACGCATTGCTTATCTTCATGTGTGTTGTGCAGCAGCCTCTACCCATACAGTGGCGCGCCATTAGCCAGAATATGGGAGATATGGGAAAAAGACTGGAAATAAATGATTTGCATCGATATGTCCTGATGAACAATTTTAAAGAAAACAAAAAAAGGGTTTGCATAAATTGAAGAATTATTTCCCGTGTTGTGATTGAGAGGTTATGTTGGGGGAGGGGGGCAATGACAACTTCCTCATTGGCTCAAGGGGGCGATTCGTTCAAAAAGGTTAAGAACCACTGTCCTAAATCAATCATTAATTTGTAATAGTTTGTAAGTTTAAAATATATTATCAGCTTAGATCCTAAGAATTCTATTTTTGCCTTTCCCTCCTCCCTTTACCTTAAATCAGTTTGGGAAACGGGATCAGCTAAACAATAATTATTTCGTGTGTTTGGTTGGCCTCTAGAGCAAAGAAAGCAAAGAACTCCATAGACAAATCCACGGAAACCGACAATGGGTATGTCTCCCTTGAGGGAAAAAGGACAGGGAGAAACAATGAAGATGCTTTGCAGTTCCAGGATCCTGTCTCTGAGGTCATCCGGGCAGAAGAGCCCGGCTGGAATATCGGAACTGCCCGAAGTTCATACAACACTTCGAATCATAAAGTGAGTCCTTTGTTTTGTGTTCATGATATTAGACTCTCTCTGTGAGCGAGGTGGGCGGTCTCTCCGTCGGTAGATAAATGAATTAGGGAAGGGAAGAAAGTTACGATGCAAAAGAAACTGAAAAGAACAGGCTCTAGGACAGGGGTAGCCAACCTTGTGTTTTTTTTATGACTCATAGACTTCAACTCCCAGAATTCCTGAGCCAGCATAGCTCAGCTTGGAAACCTCTCCCTTTTCCCTCAGCGTGGCTGGCTCAGGAATTCTGGGAGTTGAAGTCCACGAGTCATAAAAGAGCCAAGGTTGCCTATCCCTGGGCTAGGAAGAGAGCCTTCTGCCATTGCCCCAGCCCTCTGGAATATTCCCCCCCCAGGTGAGACAGGCCCCCACTCTCCTGCCTTCCCAAAGGAGTCAAAACATGGTTGGAATGGAATGGAATGGAACGGAATGGAATGGAACAGAACAACAGAACAGAACAACAGAACAGAACAGAATAGAATAGATGGAATGGAATGGAATAGAACAGGAAATAGAATAGAATAGAAAATATGGAATGGAATGGAATGGAATAGAATAGAATAGAATAGAATAGAATAGAATAGAATAGAATAGAATAGAATAGAATAGAACAGAATAGAAAATGAATGGAATAGAATAGAAAATAATAATAGAATAGAATAGAATAGAATAGAATAGAATAGAATAGAATAGAATTAGAATTTTATTTTCACTTAGCATACATTAAAATGAAATTTTGTTGCATACAGCTCTCAAAAAATACCATTATGCATATACCCACCCACCCACACACACACACACACACACAATACAGAGAAACATTTTCCCATGTATGGGGAGCTCAGAGGACTATACAGCCGTGGGATTGGTTAGCGCCCTGAAAGCCCTCCCTTCGCCTTTTAACTAATTTTAATAGCTTGCTGCAGAAGGAGTGGAAAAACTGGGGATGGAGTTAAAAGAGGAATCAGCCTAGAATCCTTACGTAGCCACAAGCGGACTAAGTTCTTGAATTCTGTGGATCCCTGTTTAACTCTAAGCAGGTGCTAACTGTTTGTTGAGAATATTGCTGTGGACGAGTAACAGTTAATCGGTCTAACTGGACCTTCACGTGTGGACCTGCTCTTTCACACCTGCCCCCTCCTTTTACATTTTTTAACTTTTGCGTGTACCGTTTTATGGTTTTCATGGTTTAATGTCCACACCCAAAATCCCTTTCTGGGGCAGTAGGTGGTTCAGAAATGTAAAAACTAACTAAATAAAATAAAACGGGGGGCAGGATATTCTGCTTTTATTTTTTTTCCCTTCCTACTTTTTAGAAATAAGTTAAAGCTGATTTTATGACTTACAATTAGCATCCTGAGTCTAAAAATGGCAGGTAAAGAGGGTCTCAGTTGATGGCAACTGATCCGTAGGCGCTACAGGTGGGAATAAAGGGGTTTGGCTAGAACTATATATTAAAAGCGTACGAATTATTTGAGATCAAAGATGTGCCTTTTATTGAGAGTAAGTTCTTCTCTGGTTTAGGACAGTCACCAAACAATGGCAAATATATCCGACGAAGTTTCTAGTGAGGAGGGGCCAGAAACTGGCTATCCTTTACGACGGAATGCTGAACGCGCTTCCAGCGATGGTGCGTTTCGGAACAAGAAAACTCACCACTATAAGAAACATTACCCCATAGAGGTAACAACACTTTGCATTGCTGCTGAGTAAACTTTTAAGGACGTCAAATTCATGTGTAGTCCTGGGAGACGTAAGAGCTGTGGTGGGGCAGTGATGAGAACGTAATATTGCAGGTGAACTCACTGCTCACTGCCAGGCGTTCGATCCTGACCGGCTCGAGGTTGACTCAGCCTTTCATCTTTCTGAGGTCGGAGAAATGAGGACCCAGATTGGTGGGGGCAACAGGCTGATTCTGTAAACCACTTAGAGAGGGCTGGAAAGCACCGTGAAGCGGTATATACGTACTATGGCTATTCCCTCCCTCCCTCCCTCCCTCCTTCCTTCCTTCCTTTCTCTCTTTCTCCCTTTCTCATTCTCCTTCTTGGTGGCACAGTGGTTAGAATGCAGTATTGCAGGCTAGCTCTGCCCACTGCCAGGAGTTTGATCCTGCCTGGCTCAAGGTTGACTCAGCAGCCTTCCATCCTTCGCGAGGTCGGTGAAATGAGGACCCAGATTGTTGGGGGCAAGAGGTTGACTCTGTAAACCACTTAGAGAGGGCTGTAAAAACACCGAGAAACGGTATATAAGTCTAACTGCTATTGCTATTTGCCCAGCCTGACAGGGAGGAGGGGTCAAGTGTAGAGCTAGCCTGGAATCACCACATAATCACCAAAGGGCTAGGGCTGACATTCCCTAAGTCAGTGGTTCTCAACCTTTTTAATGCCGCGACCCCCAACCGGTCGTAAGTCAAGGACTACTCAACCGAGGTGAGCCGAGGTGGCGCAGCAGTTAGAGTGCAGTACTGCAGGCCACTTTAGCTGACTGTGTTCAGCAGGTCAGCGGTTCAAATCTCACCGGCTCAAGGTTGACTCAGCCTTCCATCCTTCCGGGGTAGGGTCCCGACCCACAGGTTGAGAACCACTGCCCTAAGTTCCTTGGAACCTTATTTCATTGTTCCCAGGCGTAGGCTGCCAGTCCAGAGAGATTCCTGTATTATAGGCTGAGCATAATAAAGTACCATATATTCCTGCGTATAAGGCGACTAGGCGTATAAGACGACCCCCAACTTTTGAGAAGATTTTCAGGGTTTAGAAAGTCATCTTATACTCCAGAAAATACAGTACAATATTGAATTTCTGTTTATAGATGAGCACACTAGGAGTTCCTTTTCTGCTAGAAAGCTTTGTCCTGTTAGTGCTTATTTCTGTAAAAAAAATAGGGCTGGCCACTAGGGGGCAGATTGGTTTTAAATGCAGAGAACAGCTACCCGTATATTCCTGCGTGTAAGACGACCCCTGACTTTTGAGAAGATTTTCAGAGTTTATAAAGTCGTCTTATACACCGGAAAATACGGTACTTAGCTTGAACTCTGCCTGTCTTGGTTTCTTGTTGCTTGTGCCTGACAGTGGAATAGCATCCTATAGTTCTTCCTGTATTCTCCAGGATGTCCCCAAATCAGGGACCAGCTGCAGTTCGCGATGTTCAAGCTCCAGGCAAGATTCGGAGAGCACCAGGCCCGAATCGGAGACGGAAGATGTGCTGTGGGAGGACTTCTTGCACTGCGCCGAGTGCCGCTCGTCCTGCACCAGCGAGACCGATGCGGAGAATTCTCAGGTCAACTCCTGCATGAAGAAGGAGTACAGGGACGACCCCTTTCATCCGGTTAGTAGGAGAATAAAGGATACAACAGAATGACGGAGTGGGAAGGGACCTTGGAGGTCTTCTGGTCCAACCCGCTGCTCAGGCAGGAAATCCTATACCATTTCAGACAAATGGTTGTCCAATCTTTTCTTAAAAAAACAACCCGCTAATGTTGCAGCACCCACAAGGTGCTGGAGACAAGTCGTTCCACTACGCCGCCCTTTGGGATTGGGCGGCATATAAATATTTGTAAATAAAATAAATTAAATAAATAGTTGATTGTTTTCACTGTTGGGAAATTTCTCCTTAGTTCCAGGTTGCTTCTCTCCTTGAGTAGTATCCATCCGTTGCTTCTTGTCTTGCCTTCAGGTGCTTTGGAGAATAGGTGGACCCCCTCTTCTTTGGGGCAGCCCCTGAGATATTGGAAGACTGCTATCATGTTCCCCCTCGTCCTTCTCTTCATTAAACTAAACATACCCAATTCCAGCAACCTTTCCTTATATGCTTTAGCCTCCAGGCCCCTGATCATCTTTGTTGCTCTTCTCTGTACTCTTTCTAGAGTCTCAGCATCTTTTTTACATCGTGGTGACCAAAACTGGATGCAGTATTCCAAGTGTGGCCTTACCAAGGTCTTGTAAAGTGGTACTAACACTTCACGTGATCTAAAAAAATACTGTTGGAAGACTGCTATCATGTCATCCCTGGTCCTTCTTTTCACTAGACTAGATAAACCCAATTCCTGCAACCGTTCTTCATATGTTTTGGCTTCCAGTCCACTAATCATCTTTCTTGCTCTTCTCTGTACTCTTTCTAGAGCAGGGATCTTCATACTCGGCCCTTTGATGACTTGTGGACTTCAACTCCCAGAATCCCTCAGCCAGCGTCCCTGGCTGAGGAATTCTGGGAGGGGTCTTCAAACTTGGCCCTTTGATGACTTGTGGACTTCAACTCCCAGAATCCCTCAGCCAGCGTCCCTGGCTGAGGAATTCTGGGAGGGGTCTTCAAACTTGGCCCTTTTATGACTTGTGGACTTCAACTCCCAGAATTCCTCAGCCAGCGTCCCTGGCTGAGGAATTCTGGGAGGGGTCTTCAAACTTGGCCCTTTTATGACTCGTGGACTTCAACTCCCAGAATTCCTCAGCCAGTGTGCCTGGCTGAGGAATCCTGGGAGGGGTCTTCATACTCAGCCCTTTGATGACTTGTGGACTTCAACTCCCAGAATCCCTCAGCCAGCGTGCCTGGCTGAGGAATTTTGGGAGGGGTCTTCAAACTTGGCCCTTTTATGACTTGTGGACTTCAACTCCCAGAATTCCTCAGCCAGCGTCCCTGGCTGAGGAATTCTGGGAGGGGTCTTCAAACTTGGCCCTTTTATGACTCGTGGACTTCAACTCCCAGAATTCCTCAGCCAGCGTCCCTGGCTGAGGAATCCTGGGAGGGGTCTTCATACTCAGCCCTTTGATGACTTGTGGACTTCAACTCCCAGAATCCCTCAGCCAGCGTCCCTGGCTGAGGAATTCTGGGAGGGGTCTTCAAACTTGGCCCTTTGATGACTTGTGGACTTCAACTCCCAGAATCCCTCAGCCAGCGTCCCTGGCTGAGGAATTCTGGGAGGGGTCTTCAAACTTGGCTCTTTTATGACTTGTGGACTTCAACTCCCAGAATTCCTCAGCCAGCGTCCCTGGCTGAGGAATTCTGGGAGGGGTCTTCAAACTTGGCCCTTTTATGACTCGTGGACTTCAACTCCCAGAATTCCTCAGCCAGCGTCCCTGGCTGAGGAATCCTGGGAGGGGTCTTCATACTCAGCCCTTTGATGACTTGTGGACTTCAACTCCCAGAATCCCTCAGCCAGCGTGCCTGGCTGAGGAATTTTGGGAGGGGTCTTCAAACTTGGCCCTTTTATGACTTGTGGACTTCAACTCCCAGAATTCCTCAGCCAGCGGCTGAGGAATTCTGGGATTTGAAGTCCACAAGTCATAAAAGGGCCACATTTGAAGACCCCTGTTCTAGTTTCAACATTATATTTTTTTATATTTATATTATTTATATTTATGTTTTATATTTTATATATTATTTTATATTTTATATGGAGCTGGCCAAACCTGTCCAAAGCTATAATGTTTGCTAGACTACTCACCCGCTATTGACGATATGACTTTTGTTATTATTGTTAATTAGTTGTTTACGGAACCTCCTATGCCCTTTTTCTGTTTATTTTTGGCAGAGTCATTTGCCCTGGTTCCACAGCTCTAACCCCGGGCTAGAGAAAGTCAGCGCCATCGTGTGGGAAGGGAACGACTGCAAAAAGGCTGACATGTCCGTTCTGGAGATCAGCGGCATGATCATGAACAGAGTGAGTCTCTTTTAAGCGTCTTAAGATTTGTCCCGATTAAACAGGATGCTTGAAAGGCTCATTGAAGTGTCTAGATGGTTGGCTGATTCCTTAGGTTTTTAGAGTCGTCGGAATGTACTGACTCCTGCTAAAATGCCTGCCGGGGGTTTCTCCCCCAAAATGAAATTGCAATATGTGAATGAAGACTCTATGCTTAACCCAAAGTGTTCATTTTGACTGAAGAGGTTACTTAGATGAGTAATGAAGCTTCTCGGTTTTAATCAACTTTGGTCCAGTTGCCGTGATTTAAACCTTTAAGATACTTTTAGCCTGGATGATTTACATCCACACTCTGAAGATTCTGTAGAATTGAATGAGGATAGGATGGGGGAAAGGGAAAGAGGAAAGGGAAAAGGGAAAAGGGAAAGGAAAAGGGGAAAGAGGAAATGAAAAAGGGAAAGAAGAAAGGAACGGAAAGGAAAAGAAGGGAAAGGGAAAAGGGGAAAGGAAAGGAAAGGAAAGAGGAAAAGGAAAGGAAAGGAAAAAGGAAAGGAAAAAGGGAAAAAAGAAAGGAAAAAGGGAAAAAGGAAAAAGGAAAGGAAAGGAAAAAGGGAAAAAGGAAATGAAAAAGGGAAAGAAGAAAGGAACGGAAAGGAAAAAGAAGGGAAAGGGAAAAGGGGAAAGGAAAGGAAAGGAAAGAGGAAAAGGAAAGGAAAGGAAAAAGGAAAGGAAAAAGGGAAAAAAGAAAGGAAAAAGGGAAAAAGGAAAAAGGAAAGGAAAGGAAAAAGGGAAAAAGGAAAGGAAAAAGGGAAAGAAGAAAGGAACAGAAAGGAAAAGAAAGGAAAGGAAAAAGGGAAAGAGGAAAGGAAAAAGGGAAAGAAGAAAGGAACAGAAAGGAAAAGAAAGGAAAGGAAGAGGGGAAAAAGGAAAGGGAAAAGGGAAAAAGGAAAGGAAAAGAAAAAGAGAAAAAGGAAAGGGAAAAGGGAAAGAGGAAATGAAAAAGGGAAAGAAGAAAGGAACAGAAAGGAAAAGAAAGGAAAGGAAGAGGGGAAAAAGGAAAGGGAAAAGGGAAAAAGGAAAGGAAAAGAAAAAGAGAAAAAGGAAAGGGAAAAGGGAAAGAGGAAATGAAAAAGGGAAAGAAGAAAGGAACGGAAAGGAAAAGAAAGGAAAGGAAAAGGGGAAAAAGGAAAGGAAAGGGTAGCAATATCACTTAGACTTATATATTGCTTCATAGTGCTTTACAGCCCTCTCTACAGAGTCAGCCTGTCGCCCCCAACAATCTGGGTCCTCATTTTACTGAATTTGGAAGGACAGAAGGCTGAGTCAACCTTGAGCCAGTCAGGATCGAACTGCTGGCAGTGGGCAGAATTAGCCTGCAATACTTCCTTTTAACCTGTCCCACCAGGAAGGAGAATGAGAAAGGGAATAAGAGAGGAATGAATGAATGAATGGAAGGAAGGAAGGTAGGAAGGAAGGGACGAAGGCATAGCAATAGATGTATATACCGCTTCGTAGTGCTTTACAAAGCCCTCTTCAAGTGGTTTACAGAGTCAGCCTTTTGCCCCCAACAGTCTGGGTCCTCATTTTACCGACCTCGGAAGGACGGAAGGCTGAGTAAACCTTGAGCCGGTCAGGATCGAACTCCTGGTGTGAGCAGTGTATTAGCCTGCAGTACTGCCTTCTAACCACTGCACCACCACCGTGATGGGATAGGATGGGGTGGGGATGGGGAGGGGAAGGGAAGGCGGAGGGGAGGGGAGGGAAGGGAAGGTGAATTGCAAGGGGACAGGAGAGCAGAGAGGCTTTACTCGGCTAAGCGTGTTTAGACACACAAGGCATTTGTTTCCGGTGCAGAAGTTCTCAATGTACATGCAAAGCAACAGAGTAATAATCATAATCATAATCACAATAGGATACCACTACCAACGGTCTCACATTAGATTTTACACTTTCATTCAGCCGAATCCAGATTTCCTTTTTTAGGCACTGTAAACCACTTCACGGTAACACGATGTATTAAAGCGCACCCCCCGTCGTCGTCTTTGCTTTGTTTCCTGTCTTCAGGTGAACAGCTACGTTCCAGGCATCGGTTACCAGATTTTTGGAAACGTGGTCTCCTTAATCCTAGGATTAACCCCGTTTGTCTTTAGACTGTCACAAGAAAAAGATCTGGAACATTTAGCCACGCACACGGCTACCGAGCTCTACGCTATCGCCTTCGGGTCAAATGGAAACATAATGGTGATATCCATGGTTGTTGTCTGCTTTATAGTCCGTGTTTCCCTCGTGTGGATTTTTTTCTTCCTTTTATGCGTGGCTGAGAGAACGTACAAGCAGGTAAGACTTAGCCCAGCGGTTCTCAACCTGTGGGTCGGGACCCCATTTGGGGGTCGAGCGACCATTTCACGGGGGTCGCCAAACAACGCAGTCCGCCATTTTCTCCCCCCCCTTTTCCTTAGCTGTGCTACTCCCTTTTATTCTATTGGCTTTTGAAAGCCAATAGAATAGACTCTCTTGAATAGAGTCTAATTCTATTGGCTTTCAAAAGCCAATAGGAATTGTCCAGGCTGTCTCTGCCCTGCTGAGCCCACCAAAAGTCCCAGTCTGCAAACGGTGCTGCACCAGTTGAGTAGTCCTCGAGTTACGACCGGTTGGGGGTCGCGGCATTAAAAAGGTTGAAAACCACTACCTTAGCCCCAAACCTCTCTCCAAGTCTTCTTTTTTGGGGGAAAAGAATTGACGTATTTGTCCGTGATCTCATCCCAAAGGTGATTGTTTTTTTTTCAAGACGCAACTGGACTTTCTCGCTTCTTTCTTTGAAGACGTTTCGCTTCTCATCCCAGAAGCTTCTCCAGCTCTGACTGGATGGTGGGGAGTGGAAGGATTTATACTCCTTGCAGACGGCTGGTCATTTGCATTCTTGTAGAGAGTCGTTGAGGCCACCTGGAGGCTTTTTTTTTGTAAAAATTTTTTATTTTCAATTACATTCATAAAAATACTTCAGATTAAAAAAAAATAAAACCGATTGATACACACCACGTTCGGTATTGCTCACCCATTTCCCCCCAAACCGTATCCACCCTCTAACCAACTTGCCTCTTCCCCTCTTCTTCCTCGGGACCTCACCTGCGCGAGTGTCACAGGTGCTCCCAGCCACCTGCGGGCCACCAACCCAGAAAATAGTGTGAATAATTATGGTTGCATTCTGCTTTTCCCACCTGGGCGCCACTGAGAGGCATACAGTGAAGGCCGCTATTTGTTTCACGTAAAAACCCTTTCTGTTTTGCAGAGGCTGCTTTTTGCCAAATTGTTCGGTCATTTAACATCTGCCAGAAGAGCCCGGAAGTCAGAAGTTCCGCACTTCCGGCTGAAAAAAGTGCAGAATATTAAAATGTGGCTTTCTCTCCGCTCCTATCTGAAGGTTTGTTGCCGTCTCTTGTATTTATTTCTTATTGTTTCTATTTCATGCCGTAGACCAGTGGTTCTCAACCTGTGGGTTGGGACCCCTTTTGGGCTCGAACGACCATTTCACTGGGGTCCGCCAAACAACGCAGTCGGCCATTTTTCCCCCCCTTTTCCTTAGCTGTGCTACTCCCTTTTCTTCTATTCGCTTTTGAAAGCCAATAGAATAGACTCTCTTGAATAGAGTCTAATTCTATTGGCTTTCCAAAGCCAGTAGGAATTGTCCCGGCTGTCTCTGCCCTGCTGAGCCCGCCAAAAGTCCCAGTCTGCAAACGGTGCTGCACCACTTGAGTAGTCCTCGACTTAATGACCGGTTGAGTAGTCCTCGACTTACAACCGGTTGGGGGTCGCGGCATTAAAAAGGTTGAGAACCACTGCCGTAGACGCTCTTGGTGCGATAGGCTTAAACTCTCCCCTTGTTTTTAAGATTAAGATAACCTTTATTGTCATTTTTCTTTTACCGTGAGCACACCGACACCCATTAAAAATGAAATTCTGTTGCCTGCTCTCCAAAGAAAGTATATATCTACCCATACACAAACATGACACACATATACACATGCTATATACCTATATATACCTACACCACACTTCTTCTTGTGCCATATCCGTTATCGGACGTTGGCGATCATGTTGGCGATCCTGTTTTTATCAGCAGCCGCACGAAAAAGGGCTGCTGAGTTTTGTCCAAACCAATCCCTTAGATTTTGAAGCCACAATGTTCTTCTTCTGCCTGGACCTCGTTTGCCTTCAATCTTTCCCTGGAGGATTAAATGGAGTATATTTTTCTGGGTGTCGCATCACATGTCCGAAATATTCTAATTTTCATTTTTTAATTGTTTTGATGATTTCCCTTGGCTTTCCTAGGCGGCTTATCGCCTCCTCATTTCTGATCTTGTCAGCCCAGCTTATACGTAACAGCCGCCTGTAAATCCACATTTCAAATGCTTCTAGTCTCTTCGGATGGCCTTCTGTCAGAGACCAACTCTCTACTCCATAGAGCAGGATAGGAAAAATATAGCATCTGACAAGCCTAATTTTCAGTCTTAGGCTTATGTCGTGACCACATCACACATAGTATAGAATTAATGACCCATCTTTCTCAGGATGGCACAAGCAAATCAGGGGATCAAGAACGAAGAGAAAGTCAGTCAGTCAGACCACAGTAGACCCCGTTTCTGTCTTCATCATGCATTTCATGCTCCTAATTTGAGGACTGCCTACCAGTGATGGCGAACCTTTTAGAGACCGAGTGCCCAAACTACAACCCAAAACCTACTTATATATTGTTGGGTGGGCGTGGCCCATTGGGTGGGCGTGGCCCATTGGGTGGGTGTGGCTTCGGTGATAACGGCAGACTGGGTGGGACTAAAAAGTTCAATCAATCAATTCCAACTTTGCGAGATCTTTTTTTTCCCGCGAGAAATTGATTGATTGATTGAACCTTTTCTTTTTGCACACGGCGGCAGAGGCCTAAAGCGAAAAGGTTTTATAAAACCCAGCTGAAGGCCTAGGACTGGGGCAATGGCGCGCGTGCCCACAGAGAGGCCTCTGAGTGCCGCCTCTGGCACCCGTGCCATAGGTTTGCCACCACTGGCCTACACTGTGATCCGGCTATTTCTGTATCTTTAAAGATATCACTAGCACTTCTTCCCATTCATTGTAAATAATTCCTTTTTTAAGAACCTAGGCGCTGAACCGTACAGCAAATAATGCAATATTTTGGAGAGAAATAGAATATATTTCAATAGATAACATGTGCATTCTGAGTATTAGACTTTGTGATGTATGGTGATAATGGGAACGTTGGTTATTTAAAACTTGGAAACTATACATATTAAATGTTAAGCTAAATATCAAGGGGAAATTAAAAAGTAGGGGAAACTACTTAGGACATTGATTGTCCATAAAAGACTGAATAAGGATATGTACAAGCCAAAAATTATTGACAAATGTAAGAATGTTTTTTTTTTAATTTAATTGATTTAATAAGAATTGCATTAGGTTAAACAGGGGGCAGTAAATCCTAAGGGGAAAAGAGAGGAAAAATTGAATGTAGGAGCTTGAGATTTGCACTAAAGATATTTGTATGTTATTGTATTATCGATTAACCCAGCCGCCCCGCGGCTTTTCCAATACTCAAATGTAAAATTAGAAAATCAGTAAAACTTATAAATAATAATAATAATAATGCAATATTTTACTTGCACAAGTTACCACTGCTGTATATTAATAGGAGACCAGCTTGTGTGATGATTCATTCGTGCCTTCCATTCACTGTTTTTGTTTCTGTTTTCAGCGAAGAGGACCTCAGCGTTCAGTGGACGTCATCGTTTCCTCTGCTTTCTTGCTGACTATTTCTGTTGTATTTATCTGCTGCGCGCAGGTAAGGAACCCGATGGGAACGGATTTTCCTTCCTGTCGGAATATCGCAATTACGCAGCTTAGTTAGCAATGTTCCTGCATGCCTCTTCAGATGGACTTCAGAGGTCAAATGCATCCACAGCCCGGAAGCAAAAGTAGAGGTTGGCCCAACAGCAAATGTGTTTAGCTGGATCAGTTATTTTTTAGCCTTGTCAATCCATCCATCAATCCATCCACTCAAATCCATCAGAATAGAGCTGGAAGGGACCTTGGAGGTCTTCTAGTCCAAACCCTTGCTCAGTGGTATAGGAGACCCTATACCAGCGGTTCTCAACCTGTGGGTCGGGACCCCATTTGGGGTCGAACGACCATTTCATGGGGGTCGCCAAACAACGCAGTCTGCCATTTTTTCCCCCCTTTTCCTTAGCTGTGCTACTCCCTTTTATTCTATTGGCTTTTGAAAGCCAATAGAATAGACTCTCTTGAATAGAGTCTAATTCCATTGGCTTTCAAAAGCCAATAGGAATTGTCCAGGCTGTCTCTGCCCTGCTGAGCCCACCAAAAGTCCCATTCTGCAAACGGTGCTGCACCAGTTGAGTAGTCCTCGACCTATGACCATTTGAGTAGTCCTCGAGTTACAACCGGTTGGGGGTCGCGGCATTAAAAAGGTTGAGAACCACTGCCGTATACCATTTCAGAAAAGTGGATATCCAGTCTTTTGTTAAAAACCTCCAGTGATGGAGCACCCACAACTTCTGGAAGCAAGATGTTCCACTGGTTAATTGTCCTCACTGTTAGGAAGTTTCTCCTTAATTCCAGATTGTTTCTCTCCTTGGTTAGTTTCCATCCATTGTTTCTTGTCTTGCCTTCTGGTGCTTTGTAGAATAATTTGACCTCTTTGTGGCAGCCCCTCAAATGCTGGAACATTGCTGTCATGTCCCCCCTAGTCCTTCTTTTCTCTAGACTAGCCAAACCCAAATCCTGCAGCCGTTCTTCATATGTTTTAGTCTCCAGGCCCTTAATCATCTTAGTTGTCCTTCTCTGGAGAATTCTGGGATTTGAAGTCCAAGGTGACAAGATTGAGAAACACTGATCTAGATAACAGGCCTCAGAGTGTCGTTTGCTTTGTGTGGATCATTACCACAAAGAAGTATGCAAAAGAGACTTTGTTCAATGGCTAATCAAGGGACAGGAAGGAATCTTAACTAGCATCGCTATATCAATTTTATGACTATTTTTTCCTTAACTATAAACGCAGCTGAACGTTTCCACTTGGTAGCGTAGCACAAGAGATGGCACCGGTCCAAGGGGCCAGGGTGATTCGCTTAGCCCATTTTTATAAATCTTGCACAGATGAAGGAAGTTGTAATTCCTTTCCTTCTGCTAATGGAGCCATAGGCGTGTCTACTCAGAAATACATCACATTAAAGTTGAACAGGCCTGTCCTCAGGAAAGTGAAAATTTTATAAAGCCAGGGTCTTCAAACTTGGCCCTTTGATGACTTGTGGACGTGAACTCCCAGAGTGCCTCAGCCAGCTTCCATTTTGTTTGTTAGATTTAAGACAGGGGTCTTCAAACTTGGCCCTTTTATGACTAGTGGACTTCAACTCCCAGAATGCCTCAGCCAGCCTCCATTTTGTTTGTTAGATTTAAGATAGGGGTCTTCAAACTTGGCCCTTTTATGACTGGTGGACTTCAACTCCCAGAATGCCTCAGCCAGCCTCCATTTTGTTTGTTAAATTTAAGACGAGGTCTTCAAACTTGGCCCTTTTATGACTTGTGGACGTCAACTCCCAGAATGCCTCAGCCAGCCTCCATTTTGTTCGTTAGATTTAAGACGGGTCTTCAAATTTGGCCCTTTTATGACTTGTGGACTTCAACTCCCAGAATGCCTCAGCCAGCGTACACGCTGGCTGAGGCATTCTGGGAGTTGAAGTCCACAAGTCATAAAAGGGCCAGGTTTGAAGACCCCTGTTATTAAGATTGCAGCAGAAGTCGATTAATTTTTTTGAAAGATCCTTCAGTGCTTAGGGAAAATTAACTCCTCTGTTTTTGTTTTACCTTATTTCAGCTGCTTCATGTCCATGCAGTCTTCCTGGATTGCCATTATAATTGGGAACTAGTGATATGGTGCGTTTCCTTAACCCTCTTTCTTTTGAGATTTGTAACCCTGGGGTCCGAAACAAGCAAGAAATACAGCAATACATCAATCTTGCTTACGGAACAGGTAAGGAAATTTCCTGGCGTTGATTTCCCTCAAAGCATCGTTACTCTTTTCTCTGGATATATTATGCTTTTTTGTTTTAGAATTTTTATCTGAAAGCGGCCCAGAAGCATGACAGAGAAAGGCGACCTCAAATTAGAGAGAGTAGATAGATGGATGAGAAAGGTGATAGATAGATAGATAGATAGATGGATAGATGGATAGATGGATGGATAGGTGGGTAGATGGATGATAGATAGATGATATTTAGATAGATGATAGATAGATAGAGAGACAGAAAGACAGACAGACAGACCAAAGGTCCCCAACCATGGCAATTTTAAGACTTGTGGACTTCAACTCCCAGAATTCCCCAGCCAGCATACCTGGCTGAGGCATTCTGGGAGTTGAAGTCCACAAGTCATCAAAGGGCCAAGTTTGAAGACCCCTGATTTAAGGCTTCAGCCAATAGGAAACAGAGAATCCTGTATGTCTGCGGAGATTCTCAGTCTATCCAGGTCACGGATGTCCCAAGGGTGCTTTTTCAAGAGGTAACTGGACTTGATTTTTTCCTTGAAGACGTTTCCCTTCTCATCCAAGAAGCTTCTTTAGTTCTGACTGAATGGTGGAGAATGACTTGAAAAAAATGGCCAGAGAGTCCATCTAGGTTAAAATTGAACAGCCCTCTCTCAACAGAGGGGTAGGGATACAACATCACCCACCTCCTGTTTACAACACAGTCCTTCCTGTTAGTTTATGAGTAAATCTTAATTAATAGTTTGTTATGGTGGAATTTTTTTTATTAGTTTTAATTATACGATATTATTATTGGTATTAGTATTAGTATTGTTTAACAATTTGGATATTGTATTTAATAATTAGTTTAACAACTAGGATATTATGTTTGTTTATGTTTTTATTATTATGTTTACTTTTAATTTGTTTATATTTATGCTAAAGGGGAGTTGAAGCGCATTATGGATTTGGTTATTTATATAGTTGATTGATGTTAGTTAGATTATGATTATTATAATTGTAACCCTGTATTCAGCTCTGGGTAGTGGGGGGGGGTTTAAGGTGGTTTGGTTTTGGGGTTTATATTGTAACTTTTATAAAACTCTTCTATATATATATATATAGAATACTCCCAGGGTTCATATTTTTAGCATTATTAACCATATATATATATATATATATATATATATATATATATATATATATGTGTGTGTGTGTGTTTTCTGAGGTTTTCGCGGGTGTTTGTATGTAGGTCTTTGGTTATTCGGGTTTTCTCCCGCGTAAAATTGGAAGTGTCTTGGCGACGTTTCGACGAAGTCCCATTCGTCATCTTCAGGCTGGTGTTTTCAGCTTCGTGCTTCGAGGAGCACGAAGCTGAAAACACCAGCCTGAAGATGACGAGTGGGACTTCGTCGAAACGTCGCCAAGACACTTCCAATTTTACGCAGGAGAAAACCTGAATAACCAAAGACCTACCTACCTACCTACCTACCTACCTACCTACATACATACATACAAAACACAGTCCTTCCAGCAGTTCCAAAAAAGCTGCACACTCATTTGCACTATTCAGGTGGCCTTGAGGGCAGAGATAAACTCCCAAGTGGGACTCCATGACTCTCAGAAAGAGTACTAACGACCAGATGACTGCAAGGGATATAAATCCTCCCATTCTCCACCATTCAGTCAGAACTGAAGAAGCTTCTTGGATGAAGAGCGAAACATCCTCAAGGAAAAACCAAGAACGTCCAGCTGGGTCTTGGAAAAACATCCTTGGGAGCGAATACTGTACTTTTGATGCTCTATCCTTGAAACGCTTTCCTTCGGAACAGTAGTATCTTATAAGTAACCAAAGGAAGGCTTTAAAGCATCTATTAAGCACGTCAGCTCATCATCTTTTGTGTACTCATTTTACCGTTCTTCGTTTTTTTAAAAAAAGAAAATAGTTGACAGGTCTGTCTGCCTTTCAATGTTAATTTAATTTGGTTCCATCCATTATCCATTGCCCTGAAATTTCTTCGGCTGAAGAGAGACTTACCGATTGTTTATATAAATAAATGTTTTAAAACTGCGATACACGAAAGACAAACATTGTCACGGTTTTTTTTTTTTTAAAAAAAATGCTATTTGAGATGATGGTTTTGTTTTAAGTATAACACCTGTTTCTCCGTCGTGGCTTAGATAAACTTGTACTTGAAAATGGAAAAGAAGCCAAACAAGAAAGAAGAGCTGACTTTGGTAAACAACGTCTTAAAGCTTGCCACAAAGTTATTAAAGGTAAGGATTAAAAATGTGGAAATGATTTGGGTCGCCATAAATGACACCATCTTTGCTCAGTATGGTTCCCTTTTGAGACTGTGGTTTTCATTCCCCCCCCGCCCCCCGATAATTTGCCATTTGTGTTCTGCCATTTTGGATTTATTGATTTATTTTTTTAAAAAAACACCTTAAATTCTGCCATTTCTGTTGCAGAAAGTGCCAAAGTGTACCTTGGCAAAAATTAAAATCCATAACAATCAGTGGAAAAAGAATATTTAAACAGTACTGGTCGTTCTTAATTTACGGCTACAACTGAGCCCAAATTTTCCACTGCTAAGCAAGACAGTGAAGTGAATTTAATAGCCACCGTTGTAACTTTTGAACAGTCACTACGCAAACCGTTGTAAGTAGAGGATTAGCTGTATTTCTTCCAGGTAGATGATTTAATATTTCTCCCATTCATATGACGTAAATATATTTCCTTTTTCCCAGGAACTGGACAATCCCTTCAGATTATACGGCTTAACAATGAATCCTCTGCTCTACAATATAACACAAGTTGTTATTCTGTCTGCTGTTTCGGGTGTAATCAGCGACTTGCTTGGATTTAACTTAAAGGTAAACTTCTCAATTTTGCCCTGAATTTATCTTTTGACTTTTGCAGATTTTTTTTTTTTAAAAAAACAGTGTGATTTCATTGGTAAAGATTGAAAAGTGCCCATCCTTTTAAAAAGCTTTGATTTGTTTCTGTCACTAGCATCTGTTCTTTTCTGAACTATATGAAAACATGTCGGCAACCATTGCATTATGTTATAAAATTTCTTTAATTTCAATCCTAAATATTGGCGTTAATGTCTGGACGCATAGATCCCTAGCATGCTTTTATGTATTTATTTGTTAATTTATTTGCTGCCTACCACGCCTTAGCAGTGTTTCTCAACCTTGACAATTTTAAGGCATGTGGACTTCAACTCCCAGAATTCCACAGCCAGCAATGCTAGGTGTCTTACAGTATGAAAAAGAAAATGAAAGGCCGATAAGCAGGAGTAAAATAATAGAACTCGTAAAATAAACAATGAAAAAAGGAACGTGGGAACCAGTTTGGACCCGGTTTCAGACTGGAATGAGCTTCAACTAACTAGTGATTTGCAATAAAAACAGCTTGAAGTGAAAGCCGTTATCTGCAACTTTCGAAGCTGTTAGATCAGGGGTAGGCAACCTCGGCTCTTTTATGACTCATGGACTTCAACTCCCAGAATTCCTGAGTCAGCTGACTCAGGACTTCTGGGAGTTGAAGTCCATGAGTCATAAAAGAGCCGAGGTTGCCTACCCCGGTGTTAGATAATTGACTGACTTAAATGAGGATTGATCAACTTTGAATGGAAATACTTTATGATAGGTTTGGGTCGGGTTTTTTTTTCCCAAGCGTAGCTTTGAAAGAAAAGAAAGCACTTTCTCAACATAATTGTATGCTTAGGTTTGTTTGTTTTTTTTTCCTGTTGAGATTGTATTAATCCCTAAACTTGCATTTGATAAAAGAGAATATCTGTATCTCAAAAGTTGAATTGTGGGGTCCTCGGTGTATTCGTGGTGGTTTTCTTGCAGACGTTTCATTACCCAACTAGGTAACGTCATCAGTGCTGGAAGAGAGAGGGGTTTGTGGAGAAGAGGAGGAGGAGGACTGTGGGGTCCTTGGTGTTCTCTGCGCTTGGTGGTTTTCTTGTAGACGTTTCATTACCAAACTAGGTAACATCATCAGGGCTAGAAGGGGTTTAGGAATTAGGAAACATTATCAGGGCAGGACCGATGTTACCTAGTTGGGAATGAAACATCTACCAGCACTGACAGAGCAAGCCACTAGTATAAAATGAGAGCAAACCCCACACCCTCGCTAGCACTGATGATGTTACCTCGTTTGGTAATGAAACGTCTGCAAGAAGACCACCAAGCTCAGAGAGCACCAAGGACCCCATAGTCATTCTCCTCCTCCTCCTCTCTACAACCTCACTGATGACATTACATAGTTGGGCCATGAAACATCTGCAAGAACCAAGCTCAGAGAGTACCAAGGATACCGCCGTCGTTGTCATCGTCGTCGTCCTCCTCCTCCTCCTCCTCCTCCTCCTCCTCTACAACCTCACTCCCTTCTAGCACTGATGACATTACCTAGTTGGGTCATGAAACGTCTGCAAGAACCAAGCCCAGAGAGTACCAAGGATACCGCAGTCGTCGTCCTCCTCCTCCTCTTCCTCCTCTTCTTCTTCCTCCTCCTCCTCCTCCTCCTCCTCCTCCTCCTCCACTCTACAACCTCACTCCCTTCTAGCACTGATGACATTACCTAGTTGGGTCATGAAACGTCTGCAAGAACCAAGCCCAGAGAGTACCAAGAACCCCACAGTTGTCGTTGTTGTCCTTCTCCTCCTCCTCTTCCTCCTCTCCACAACTCCCCCTCCCTTCTAGCACTGATGACGTTACCTAGTCTGGTAGTGAAACGTCTGCAAGAAAACCACCCAGCTCAGAGAGCACCATGGACCCCACAGCTGAACCTTGAGCTACAGCAGTGTTTCTCAACCTTGACAATTTTAAGGCATGTGGACTTCAACTCCCAGAATTCCACAGCCAGCATTGCTGGCTGTGGAATTCTGGGAATTGAAGTCCACATGTCTTAAAATTGTCAAGGTTGAGAAACACTGAGCTACAGAGAGTCTATCAAATGCAAATTTAGGGAGGGCAAGAGAAACATAAAGCGGTCAAACTGGAATCTTTTGCTTATCCCTGTTTTCAATTTCAGCTTTGGAAGATCAAATCCTGACCCCCTCGTCCAATACCTCGCGTTGAAGAAGACAACTCAGAAGACTAAACGGCCTCTGTGCAGCCCCCCCCCCTGGCGGATTTCAGTCATTGCAATCTCTTGACGGACATCCTTGGAGGGGGGGAGAGAAAAAACAACAACCCCGAAGTGTTTACAACTGACTGACTAGTGCAATCTAAATATTTATTTTACCTTTTCGATTTTTTTTGGGGGGGGGTAAACTTTGTTTTAACTGACAGTGTGTTTGGTTGTGGATTCTCAACAGGCTTTGGTTAACGAAAAGGTCAAAATCGGAGGGAATCACAACCCTGGTTGTGGTTTCACCTCACATAAGTCAGATTGGCTTCATGGATTTGGTACAGAAGGAAGCCCTTTTAGCTACAGAGTTTTATTGTTACAGGAAATCACTTTATCGAATAAGTATTACAAAGTTATTTAGAAGGTTTTTATATACCGCCTTTGGGAAGAGAGTCTTGAGCCCACCAGCATATTGTCGTTTATAGTTGAAAATGATACCTACTGTTAACGACAACGCATTATGCCAGGGAGCTAATAGATATGAGTAAAAAAAAATTTTTTTTTAAAAGAATAAATGCAAGATCCAGTAGCTCTCTTACTCAAGTGATTCCAGGATCCACAGGGAACTGTTGTTTAAACAGGACTGAATCTCAAGGAGGTATTACCGAGCAAGATAACAAGTGCTCTTTTCTCGATGTTTTTTAGCCGAGCAATAATTGTAAACTGTTACTACGTTGTAAGATATTTTGATAAAAAAAAAAATTAGCTGTAGTATTTATTTTAAACGTGGGGCTGTTTATCCAGCTCTTTGCCGCTCAGTATGTGCACTTTTGTGGTTGTTTTAATAACGATCTTTATATATACTAAACTTGCATATACTACGGTGCTCTGTGGTGCAATAATATAGCTTTTGCCAGCGGGCATAAAAAAAAGGTTTATGCTCAGAATGAATATTTTCCCCACAGTACACTATAGTGTAGGCAAACTTGTACCACGCAGAGACTTTAAAGTGAACTTAATAAGGTATATGTTTTAAATTATATAATGGAACGCCAGTTTTTCGATCCTGTTCCTATCCTGGCTGATAAGCAATTGCGGATTATTGCAGGGAAGGTCTTTCCTGACACACACACACACACACACACACACAACACACACAAGATCCCCCCAAAATTCTTGAATTCGTGAAAAAAAAATATTCCCAAATTCCCGATTTGCCTCTTCACTCTGGAGGAAGTTATTGTATGCTGAACTTCCCAGAATAGTTGAGCATATTTAAAAAAAACAGGCAGCCTAATTGGCAATTTAAAATTTCCATTTATGATCTGAAAGGACCAAGAGAAACAGATTCTCTTCTTTGTTTTCAAATAACACGCGCAATAAGCTTACTGGCTAAATTTATTTCTGGTTCCAGGTAGGGTCATTTAACTGGGTTTCTCTAATTTTCTAAAGCTATGTATAGGTTTATATGTGTAGACAGTATTAAGTCAGTTTTGCCTTGAGTAATAATATGAGTAACTAGTGGTTAGTGATGCAGTAAACAGGGGAGGGGTGATGTCTATAATTGAGTTACCTTGATGTAATATGCACAGTTCTGATCTATGGAGGGCAGACCAAATGTTAGGCGTGCAAGCAAAGACTCTGGGCTTCTCCCATTCCATTGAGCAGTCAACACAGCATATCACAAAAGTTGCCTGTGACAGGTTGTCACTCCGTTAGGTGAGCGGGATAGCCCAAAGGCTGTGGGTATTTGCTGGTGGGCACCCTGGGCCTTAGGTGAAGTTTGTGGCCTTTGCATAAAAGTCTTATCAGAGTTGGGCAGCTTAACAAATTAGAATCAATAAAATGTTAAATGGTTGGCTTTACAGGATAGAGCAGGGGTAGGCAACCTTGGCTCTTTTATGACTCATGGACTTCAACTCCCAGAATTCTCAGGAATTCTGGGAGTTGAAGTCCATGAGTCATAAAAGAGCCAAGGTTGCCTACCCTTGGGATAGAGCGATCACTATTTGGAGAAAAAGGATCGCTTGATTTTTTTTTAAAAAAAAAAATCGGCTGAGAACAAAGTCTTTATGAAAATCGGCTTACGTTATCAAATTGTAATCAAGTGGGTAAACATAAACCATTGTATTATGTTGAATACCCTTGGAAGAGCCTGCATTTCTAAGCTGACCCCTTAGTTTGAAAACATAGTTATTTTAAATGTAAGCAAGAGAAAATAATGTAGCTGAACAGAAAGAAAATGTAGACAGTCACTTCCTCTGCAGAATTATTACGATTGCTCTGGTGTGGTATAAGGCATTTATATATATATAAAGTAACACAAACATTTTGTATTTTATTCGTTGCTGTACTAATGACCAAAGTATCCTCTGTTGTGTTATTGTTTGTTCACCCTTTCTCCCAAAAGAATATATTATTAGAGCTTTAACAACATGCATTTTATCATGTCAAAACTTTGACCACGTGACCTGTTCTTCTTCTTCATTTGTGTGGTCTGATCTTCAGGTTATGTTTAGGAATTAAGTCTGTTTTATAGATAATTTTTTTTTCCAAAATACGGTACGGACCTACCTAAAGCTAAATTTTACAAAGAATATATTTTAAGAAAAAAAAAACCTAAAGAACAATATGAACTGAGGATGAGTTGTGTAGCGATCAGAAATCAGACTCCATTCTGCCTTACCATTTTTTTTGTAAAGAAAAAAACAGAACAGATGTTTTCGTAAGGAAGCATTGTGTTTTCGTGTTTTGAGATCTCTAAATACCGAGTAGGATCTTATTGGATGGCAGCAGTTTTTGAGTTTTGAGCAGAAATTTGATCGTAAGCAGACCGTACCTCTGCAACTGGCGGTATGCTGGATTGTTGCACTAATTACGGTTAGCGTTGGCAAACTTGCAGAACTATCGGGTAGGAAAAGTACCTCACAAATAATGACAGGTTTAAATTGTGCCATTGGTAAATCAAGCCTACAATTGAGAAGCTAATCTAAGCTTATCTTACATCTTTTATTTGAGAAGAGAGCGGTAAGGAGAATGCGGCAGATGTTGTTTAATTGTTGTTGACTTATGTTTGTAACCGGCAGCGTGCTCAAGCTTTGGAATAAAACCAGTGGCTGATGGTAGTCCTTTGTGTTTTTCCTATCGGATGTCTTCCTGCCAACGATCAGATCCACACATGAAGGTCCAATGAAACTGATTTATTACTAAATAGTCACAAGAATTTCAATTAACAGCACCTGTTTGGGGTTAGACAAGGGTCAATGGCATCAAGGGAGATTGGAATTAGTCCACTTGTGACTATGTAGGGATTCTAGGCTGAGCCCTCTCTTAACTCTGCCCCCATGTTCTGTCGTTCCTTCTCTTACATTTCCTCACTGAAGCTCTTAGTCTGAGCAGGTGGGATTAAATAACCCAATCAGTAGATTCTACACCATCCTGCTGAGAAGAAGCGTTCAGGTAAGACAACACTCTTTTCTCTGTGATTGCCTTTAAAAGTCTCGGCACACACGTCCAGGAGACCATTTTATTGTTAACTCTTAAAAATGCAGCCGTTTTGCATCCTTCCAGATTCTCTACAGCTACTACATGGAGCAAGAGGTTTTGAGCCTTTCATAAAAATATTCCCGATGCTATCCTGGGCAAACAGAGACCTATGTATTGTGTTGTCACAACCCAGAATTTAGAAATAGATTTCCATTACAAAAAGTGCAGACTACTCACTTGATGTTGATACAACGGTATTGTTGGCTTTTGCGGGAAATAAGGAACAAGTCCGGAAACTTTACAACTGGTTAAATTTCATGAGCTGTTTTAATAAAATAAAATGAGCTGCTTTGTCTAGTCTAGTGAAAAGTAAGAAGTAGGGGTGGTATGATAGCAGCGTTCCAATATCTCAGGGGCTGCCCCAAAGAAGAGGGGGTCAACCTATTCTCCAAAAGACCTGAAGGTAGGACAAGAAACAATGGATGGAAACTCATCAAGGAGAGAACCAACTTAGAACTAAGGAGAAACTTCCTGACAGGGAGGACAATTAACCAGTGAAACAACTTGCCTCCAGAAGTTGTGGGTGCTCCATCAATGGAGGCTGTTAAGAAGAGACTGGACTTGTCTGGAATGGTTTACGGTCTCCTGCCTGAGCAGGGTGTTGGTCTAGAAGACTCCAAGGTCCCTTCCAACTCTGTTCGTCTGTTCTGAAATATCATTTCTGATTTCTTGATGCTTCCCCCACTAGTGCCACGAGGGGGGCTCTTTGACCCTCTAAAAAACTATCTATAGCTGGTTAAGTCGATCAAGAACATTCAGACTGGAGGACTCTTGGTATCAATCTTCTCAAGATGCTGTAATGTTGAAGCCAAAGAAGAAATTCCAGTTCACTTCTGAAACGTTATGTGATTAATGTCACACACTCTCAGTTGAGGAGACTTCAATTAAGATAAAAGAGATCTGAAGGCTAAACCGCACGATGAACAATTGAGGACCCTAGGTATGTCCAGTTTAACGAAGAACAGGACAACGTGGGAGATGCTGGCCGTCTTCCAATATTTGAGGGGCTCCCACAGAGAACAAGGGATAGACTATTCTCCAAACTACTTGAAGGCAGAACAAGAAGCCATGGATGAGAGGAAGATCATTAAACGGAGATCCAGCCTAGAATGAAGGAGAAATCTGACAATGAAAACTATTAATCAATGGAATGGCTTACCTCCAGATGTGGGTGCTCCATCACTGAAGGTTTTTAGGAAGAGACTGGACAGCCATTTGTCCAGAATGGTGTAAGGCAGTGTTTCTCAACCTTGACAATTTTAAGGCATGTGGACTTCAACTCCCAGAATTCCACAGTCAGCAATGCTGGCTGTGGAATTCTGGGAGTTGAAGTCCACATGCCTTAAAATTGTCAAGGTTGAGAAACACTGGTGTAAGGTCTCCTGCTTGAGTAGGGGGTGGGATTAGAAGGCCTCCAATTCTATTATTCTTTGTTCTAAGAAAATTCTGTTTGTTTGAAGATGTTTGTTTCTGCTTCATCTGCCGAACGGGAGTACAAATAGTCCTCGATTTACAACAGTTCAGTTAGTGACCGTTCAAAGTTACAACGGCACAGAACGATATGACTTATGACCGTTTTTCACAGTTATCGACTGTCGCAGCATCCCCATGGTTATGCGATCAAAATTTGGATGCTTTGAAGAAGAGATTGGACCGCCATTTGCCAGGAATGGCATAGAGTCTCCTGCTTGAGCAGGAGGCTGGACTAGAAGACCTCCAAGGTCCCTTACAACGCTGTTATTCTGTTTTTATTCTGTTATTCTGAGTCTGAAGTGTCTGGAGCGTGGGAAGAGGGCAAAAGTAGACCCTCCCCAACAGTTCAGAGTATGCAGGAAGTCCTAGACCAGGGGTAGGCAACCTTGGCTCTTTTATGATTCATGGACTTCAACTCCCAGAATTCCTGAGCTAGCCATGCTGAGGGAAAAGGGAGAGATTTCCAAGTTGAGCCAGGCTGGCTCAGGAATTCTGGGAGTTGAAGTCCATGAGTCATAAAGCGGCCTAGGCCTAGGTCAGAGGTAGGCAACCCTGGCTCTTTTGTGACTGGTGGACTTCAACTCCCAGAATTCCTGAGCCAGCCATGCTGAGGGGAAAGGGAGAGATTTCCAAGTTGAGCCAGGCTGGCTCAGGAATTCTGGGAGTTGGAAGTCCACGAGTCATAAAAGAGCCAAGGTTGCCTACTCCTGTCCTAGACTTACAACTATTTGTTGAGTTAATTGTTTGAAATTACAGCGGCATTGAAAAAAGTGACTTATGACCATTTTTCACATGACTGTCACAGCATCCCCCCCCCATGGTCACCTGATCAAAATTTGGACCTTTGGCAACCGGTTCATTTGGCAAGGGGGGGGGTCACGGGATCCCCTTTTGAGACCTCCTGACAAACAGAGTTAATGGGGGAAACCAGATTGACTTAACAACCGTGTTCCACTCCTAACAACTACAGTGATTCACTTAACAAATGTGGCAAGAAACATCATAAAATGGGGGCAAGACTCACCTAACAATTGTCTCTCTTAACAGAAATCTCGAGCTCAACTGTTCCCATAAGTTGAGGACTACCTGTATCTATAGCATTGCTAAAGATAATAGCTTTAGTGTGGCAATATTCAGTTGTAGGCAGAACTACCTCAGAAGTAACTCCACCTACCACTCATGCTTCTTGGGGGACCCATAATGAACTACACGGTATAAACAGTTGGGAAAAAAAAAGATTCTTGGATATATATTTTATTTGAGTGGTTTAGAATATCATACAGTAAACAAGATTTCTGCAAAAGTTAATTTATCCATAGTGGTGGTTTCATAAAAATAGTTGCTCACTTACAGCTTTTCTGTGACTATTAATACATGGAATTATATTTATAGCAATAGAGCTGTACAAGGTAAATTCACAGCTAACACTACACAGAAATATTATTTGGAATGGGGGGTGGGGTTTAAATGATGCCTTCACAGGTTGTCGATTACAGCCGCATAAAGCCGTGTGATCTGCACAAAAAAGAGGGCGGGGCAGGGTGCGAACTGAAGTTGAACGGAATCTCCGTTTATCCCTCTTTGCTAGCAAAGTCCTGTCTACATTTCAGGCTTAATAAATTAACAGCAAATTATGCCAAATATCTAGGCTGGGAATAAAGATATATATCTCTCTATTTCTTTCATTAATATATATAGACAGATAGATACTCTATTTTGTAAACAGCTACGTATCTTTGTGCTTTCTTAAAAAACTAGAATGGGACAAATTCTTAAATATGCATTTTTTTTTTTATTTCCAAGGTGCAAAGTCCTTTTCTCCTCAATCTAATTTAGTCTAAGAGGGCCCCTGAAGAAAACAAACGAAAAGACGGATTAACTGGTCGTAGATTGAGCGGAAAAAGAAATATGGGATTTGTGTTGATTGATCAAGGTTCATTCTCTTGCTTATGCCTCTCTTCGAATCGAAATTTCTCCTGATCTTAAAAAATAACTTGATTCTGCTCACCTGACGAGGTTACTTCTGAGAAACAGGAGGGTTTGCGAGAGAGAAAAAAAATCTTTTCAAGTTTAAAAAACAAACATTACGGAGTGCTGCTGTTCTTGTTTCTATTGCTGTTGTTTGAAAAGAAAAGAAAAAACAGCGAACCTCTCAGAAATTAAAAGGGTTGATTCATGGAGCTCAGCGAACAAGCTACACTTCATCGGTGTGCAAATGAAACGTTATTATGGCACTGGAGACGTGAAAAAGACACAGACTATGGAAGGAGGAGACATGGCGTTGCCTGGTGGGTTTCTATCATAAAAATAGGACTTTGGGGAAGTAAAATTCAAAGGTGGTCCTAGGAAAAAGAAGTTGAGTTAGTATTTTAGACAGTTGTGAGTTCTTGCAGGCGACCAAGGCTGTTTTTCAAGAATCACTCTCTCATTGTGATGATCCGGCAGTTGTAGTTTAGGATCCCTCTTGTGAAAACTAGATCAGAGACACCCAAACTGTGGGCCACCAGGAACCAGTTCTATGGACAGAGATTTTTCTGCAGACTGGAGAGGGGGCAGCGTGGTTTTGTGTGCTGCCTGCATCCTGCGAATGGGGATTCGCTTGTTTGTGCAGCCCGGTTTTTGGCATGCTGCAGCCCGGTG